TGTAAAATATTATATTAGCGCTCTTAATCGTAAATACGATTTTACATTAGATTAAGAGCGCTAATATAATATTTTACATAATAAAATGTTTTAATATTATATAATTTTTACAACACCAATAAACTTCAAACGTTTGTGTATAGACTGTACAAAATAAATATATTTAAGTTTAGTTACTGTTTATGTAATTCAAATAATGATTACAGCGAGTAATGTAAAATGTTTTTCTGTTGATATAGAAGTCACGTGACGATCTCGGTGAATGGGACTGAAGTTACAAGGGGCAGGGCCATTTGCCGAGGGTTGTAGTGGTGAGGGGGGGGGTCAAAGTTCAGGCGAGACGTCTGTACTTGATATGATTGTACAGGCACGGATATTACCCAGATATTTCCAGCACAAGGCTCAGGTCTTGTAAATATACAATTATAAATTTAGATATATTTTATTTTCGTAAATTAATTTTATAAACAGTGACACCCTTATGACTTATAATAATTGTCTGTATTGTCCCATGAAGAAAATTGTGTCAGTATTTAACCGAATTTAATATTTAATATTCAAAAGAATTATTTGCGTGAATGGGGCAATGTCAGTGATTTTTGTAATAATTTTCACAGGATCTACATAAGTGAAAATGTATTAAAAGGAACTCAGTGCTACCAATGTAACAGTTTTATTTATTTATATGTAATATTTATGTAATGATGCCTTCAGTAGCTCAGATAAAATGGCGTAATAATTATTAAATAATTGATTGGAGAGGATTAGGGAGAATTTGGTCATATCCTAGAGTTAGGTTGTGTGATATCCATTGAAAGATAGAAAAACTTCAGTCAGGATAGTTGGTCTCTGGGTCTGAGATTTGAACCCATGATCTTCTGAATACTGAGCACGTGATGAGCTGGAGTAGCTCAGACAGTGTAGTATCTGATAATAGACTGGGTGACAGGGGTTTGACCCATGGAAGGGACAAAGTATTTTTTACTCAAGTCTCTTTGTAAAACTTTATTGCTACATTTGTTTCGTAATTGTTTAGTCTTGTGTTTTAAGTTAAAAACCTCCATTTTTCCTTATACTTTCACTCATTTTATTTATCCAAAGTAGAATAAATCGCCACACAGATAAAAAATGTATTCTCGACTGTCTGCCATAATTTTAAATAGTTTTATTCCAATATCCTTTCAATGCCATAATTGTTCTGCACGTAGGCTAAATTTCGATTTTTTTTTAAAAAAATTATTATTATGCGTGTGTTCTGCCAAAATTTCTGGCACCAAAGAAGTTACATTTTCAAAATATTTGCATACCTAAATTCGTGATTCTTTGAGTAAATACGTTCTTACACTAAAAATATCGTTACATAAGTAACCTCGTTAATATTTAAATTCTATGCTTGAAGAAATTTAAAAAGCAAATAATTGACAAAATGAAAGAGTAACTTCATAAATAGTGCAATGTGATAAATATACTGGCCTAAGGTTGAGTCGTGTTATTAGAGCCTAGTATATTAGGTTATAATTACTATTGAAAATCTGGGTAAGACGTAAGTCCTGAAATCCACAGATTAATTAATTCTTTCTGGAAAAAGGAAGGAATCTTTTAATAATTGCATCTATTTATGAAATTAACTGTAGTAATTATCGAGGATTATTAGTGTCACGAACTACATAAATTATATTATATAACAATCATTTATCCATGCGTACGTACTGGGGATTTGGATACATTAAAAAACAGATTCTCTCTTTTCGTCAAATATTAGATAACAGATAGACGTAAAATGAGACAGTACTTCAGCTATTTATAATCCTCAATAAAGCCTTTGAGTTGCACACTCAATCAACATTATCATCGTATTCGATTAGGCTGACTACATTTGTTTAAAATGGTAAAGTTGCGTCATATTGTGATATAATAAATATATATTATTTAAATCTTGTCCGTCTAATCACAATAAATTCTT